ATAAGTATAACAATTTAAAGTATTATAAAAATATATGCATTATATACATTAATATAAATTCAACTCTACATTAACAGATACTTACTACTTTGTTATGGCTTTGGTAGCATAATGTATTCTAGTTGACCACCAAAAAAAAAAGGTTTAGATATTAGACAGTTTTCTTATAGTGAAAATGGATAATTACCTTATATTTTTAAGCCTGCCTTATGCAGGCTCCAGACAAATTTTCTTACACACAACAAGCACACTGATCCTGTCCTAGGCTCAGGAACCCAAATGACATCTGCATCGTATCTCATTTACCCTTGGAAATCTTACATATATCTCAAGCTTCAGTTATCCAACACTAAACTTATGAGTGCCTTTGAAACAAAGAAACCAAACCAAATTTAAAAAAAAAAGAAGTTCTCCTTAGCTTACTTAAAAAGAGTATCTCTATTGGATCTAGTCAAACTAGAAAATTAAGAGTTCAGTTTTGACCTATCATGTACCTTTCTCAAATCTAATCCATCCCCAAATTCTTCTACATTTGTCTCTGAAGGACTTCTTTGTTGCTATTTTTCTATATTCTTTCTATAATACAGTGTCACAATGCCAGTTCTGTCTAGTTTGAACTCTTGGATAATTTCTCAAACAGGGAAACTTGTCATCAGTTTCCTTTAATCCATTCTCTACAGAGCAGACTGAAGTGCTCTTCCCAAAAATCTAAACATAAACTTTCTCTTGCTTTAAATAAAGTTTTATTCGTTTCAATGATACTCAACTACACTTAATCTAAATACTCAACTTTAGTGAACGTATGCATGCTGTTTCTCCCTTTTCTTCTCCTTTTCTTAGGGGGCAGTATTTGTATAGCAGGCTATGAACCATGCTTCCAGCTCCCATACTTTCGCTTCACTTCTAACCTTACTGCTATTTAGCTCAACCAGCTTTCTTTCATAAACACTTTCTAACTTGGAGCTTTTCATCTGCTGAAAATTCTACTACCTATTTAGCTCAACCAGCTTTCCTTCATAAACACTTTCTAACTTGGAGCTTTTCATCTGCTGAAAATTCTACTACCTACACTTAACTAGTGAGTTATGTTTACAGTAGGAATAAAACTACAAATGGCTCAGTTCTGATGCTGGAAGATGGAGTTCTAAAGGCTTTCCTACATGCTAAGTAAGTTATTGAGGAAACAGTGGGGGAAACTGCACTTTGGCGCCTTGATGCTTCAAAGAAAAACGCAAGGGAAATATAAGCCTCCATATTAGGCTAAAAGAATACTGGAGAAATTGTCTCGTAAAAGCAACACAATTTTCCACAGACAAAGATCCAAACTAAACAAGCTAGAATTTAGCTTGGACTCAGAAAGAAAGATGGAAACAAAAGAGGGGGGAAAAAGGAAAACATATGTACAAGGTTTCTACATTATTCAAGTAAGAAAACTACTTCCTACTAAAGTGCAGTATCCTATACTGTATGATTCCTCAAGAGTCAGAAACCATGAAACAAAATACTTGGGTCAGCAGTAGGTACACTATATATGCCTCTTATTGATGCTGTTTTGACTGAGGTATTTTTATAGCTTTATTATCTTTATTAATAATAACAGAAGTGTGCAGACACACAAAACTATTATCTTCAGCTGAAAGTGACAGAAGTAGAAGCATTAAAAGAAAATTAAATATTATGCTTGAAACATATCAGTACCGAAGACAAAATGGACCTATCACCCTGTTTCTACTATTTTCATAATTGAAATCATTCAGCACGTAGATAAGCAAATAAGACAAATGATTCACATCATTTCCTACTTTGCTATGGGTTCATAGGTACTGAATTTAAGAACCATTATCCTAAGGCAAAATGGACATCAGAGCACCATCTCATGAGTATATATAATCCATAATATAAACTAAAATTATCAGTAGGTTTAAGCATTGAGGATTGCTTCAGACTAATTTTATTTGGTTGGTATTAACTTTTAAATAAAAACACAAATATTGAGGAAGAGGAAGGACAAACATAACAGATTTACTGAAGAAGAATTTTGTGTGTGTGTGTGTGAGTCGTGGGGCCTGAACTCTGGGCCTGGGCGCTGTCCCTCAGCTCTTCAGCTCAAGGTTAGCTCTCTAAAACTTGAGCCACAGTGCCACTTCCGACCTTCTCTACTTCTATTGTGCTGAGGAATCGAACCCAGGGCTTCATGCATGCAAGGCAAGCACTTTACCCCTGAGCCACCTTCCCAGACCCTGAAGAAGAAATTTTAAGTGCCTATTTGTGGTGCAGGTCCTTATTGAGCCTTTACTACATGTATAATAATCTTCCAAGCTAGTAAAAGATATTCATTTATGCTAATATACAACTTGTGAGTGGAGACAGGAAGGAAAAACTGGCAGAGAGGAAGGGAAGGAATGACACTGTCCAAAAAGAAAGGCACTCATTACCTGACTTAAGTAACTATAACTCCTCTGTACATTATCATTGTAGTAATATAAAAAATAGAAATTAAAAAGAATGGATTTACAAAATTATGCTGAGTAAAATGTTATACTACTACAATTATCTACTTTAAGTGGTCTCAATTAAAGCTATTAACATCTCTTGAGGACTTTTTCACTTCTACTAAGTCTTAATAGTTCATATTTATGTTTCAAAATCACAGCATAAGTTCCTGTGGTTACTGTAAAGAATGTAAAATGATTCTCCCAATGTATAATGTATTCTCCCAATACACATTTACTTCCAATGTAATAGTCGAAGACTAAGAATTACACTGTCTGATAAAGATCAGACAGACCTCTTTTTCTAACTTTTACTTGCTACATGTTTCCATGAGAGTATTTGACATGAATCTCAAATTCATCTATCTAAAACTGAATTCAGTATATTGTCCCACCGGTACCTCCACTCCTGTTATTTCCATATCTCAGTGAATGCAGCACAAAATCATAAATCTATCAACCCTCACCTACCCCCCCTCCATGCTCCAACAGATCACGAAAGCACCTAAATCATCTCTTCATGCACTCATTCATCTGCCACTTCCTGATCCAGGCCCTCGTCATTAGTATTCTTTCCAGAATGAGTAAACTTTCTAAAGGGTAAACCTGATGATGTCTTTCCACTGCTTGAAACATTCAGTCTCAGTGATAACGCATAAATGATAATGGTCTCATCATCTGAAATCTCTCTCCAGCTTCAAGTCTCATACCACTCACAGAACTCTAGCTAGTTCCTGAAATGTAGCATTCTTTCTCCTTTAATTCTTCTGACACAGTGTTACTCAGCTTCCTTCGCTAGGCTAATTTCTATTTATTCTTCATGATCTAAATTAATGTTACTTAATGCTATTGTTCCCCTCCACCAGTACAGTTCTTACCAAACTATACAGTAACTACATGTATTACTCTAGACTTTATGCTCTATCAAAAACAGGAAACATGTCTAAATCCTAGCACCTGATGTCAGCAGTAGATATTAAAAGCATCAAGCTGACCTATAACATGTTAAAAGCTGTGAGAATGTAAGTACTTACATTCTTCTGTTTCCTTACTGTAAAATATAGGTAGTATTACCTTACAAGACTGTGTATGGATTAAACATGGTATGAGAAGCATTTTTAATATAGTGCTTGCTATCAATTGCTATCAATATTATATTTTCAAAGAAAACATTTGCTGAATAATTACACTTCACAAATTATTAAAACATTTTAATAATGCTATGCTCATATAATTCTATTTTCAAACATAATTCTATAAGAATGATTCTGTTTTGTGTTCATATGGTTCTATAGTTTTGTTGGAGCCAATATTTATTCATAAAGCAGAATGTTCAAAGAGAATGACTTGTGCCTCACTTTCAGGAACAATTTGTTTATGAAGTTGAATCTGCTCCAAACCAGGGCTTTCTAGAGAATTAGGGGAGGTGTTACAAATGGAGGCAGTCACATGATACCTTGCTGACTGATAAGAGCTGTAATATTCCAATCTATTTTCCCCTGAGTTTTCTGGTGCCTTTAGTTTTTGTTTAAACTGAACAACTTTATAGATCAGAAAAATGATTAAAACACAAGCTAAAATGAAAAAGGCTAGCAAAATGTCAAAAGCTTCGTTTAACTTCTCAACTTCTTGGGAACAAATTAGAGATGTTTTCCCTGACACTGCAGCAGCATCAACAGGTAAGGCACTGTTTTTTTCCAAGTTCAAGTTAACAGAAGAAGTAAGTTGTATTTGCACAGGCAATACTGCAGGAGTCTCTAATGATTTACCAAAAGTATTCTCTTGAAAAAATCTACTGGTAGGTGAAGTACGAATTCGTTCCCAGAAGGTAACACTCTCAGTTTCAGTATTTTCCAAGTGTTTCCCATTTGTGATTACTTTAGGCCAGGCCATCATTAATGCAGTGGTCTTGTGATGAATATGAAGAGATTTTACAGCCCAAGTTCTGGATACATTTGTCGAAGATGTAATGCAATTTGTAAAGTCAGTCCACTTAACATAACATAATGCTTTGCCATGCATGGATAGGGGATTTTTGATGTTTAGAATAATGGCTGAAGATGCTAACCAGTCTTGAAGGCTCAATAGTTTGCAGTTACTTTCCCAAGGATTAGAATTTGCATGGAGATGAGTCAATGAAGACAGTGGCTTAAGGACCTTTGGATGTAAGTCTGTAAGATTATTAAATGACAGATTAAGAACCTTCAGAGATGCTCCTTTGTCTTCAAATTTATCATTATCAATGCTGATTATTCTATTTCTAAGTTAAAGTAAATTATTTAATTAAATGTGTCAGAATTTAAATTTTAGGTCATATGAGTTAAGATAAAATGTTGAATGCTATCGACTCCACTAAACACATCCCTACTAACATTTTATCTGTTTTAAGACTACCCTGTAGTTTAACTAGGACTTGGGTGTCCTTAAGTTTATCTGCTCCTGAGCTGGTGACTTAACTCCACTCTCAGAATTTTTTGGTTACTAATTGGAGATAAGAGTCTCACAGACTTTCCTGCTTGGGCTGGCTTTGAACCATGATCCTCAGATCTCAGCCTGGAGTAGCTAGGATTACAGGGCTTGGCCTAAAGTATGTGGCTCTACTAATAGTATTGATCTTAAAATTTTCAACAGCAGAAAAACATAGTCCTTTTAGAGCAAAGAATTATATTGCATAATAGGATATATGTCATATATTTGCTGGTATATTTTGTTAAATTATTACTTTGTGGATACAACTAGGGCTTATATCTATAAAGTTATACTCAAGGTTTCCAAAGTAAAGAAAGCCTGAGATCTTCAAAACTTTATTGCTTGATAAATCAAGTATCATAAGAGCAATAAATATCCAAAAGAGGTATCAGTCCAAAGAACAGTGATGTGTTTCTTTTCTAAGTTTAAATACTGATTAATACAATTAAAAATACTCCTCTTGAACCAAAAGATACTTGAACTAGGCTGTAAATATACATTGGGAAGATTTGAAAGTCCCTTAAATATTACAGGATTTAAGTGTTTTATAAAATTGTTACATGCAGAAAACATAGATATCACAATTTAACAAAAGCTTGGATATATGTACAATATTAGAATTATTCAAATGCACAGCTACAAGAGAATTAAGCCTTGTTAATGAACTTTCATTTGTATGAAATATTATTATTTCCAATCAGATAGAGAAAACTACTTTCAGGAAAATATGAAAAGCCTGTTACAGGAGTTGCCTTCTAGTACAGAGGTGGCAAACTGACAAAAATATCCAAATATCTCCTTATGAGATAATAATAAAAGATAACAAATAACCAGTAGAAACATTTGGAGGCAGGCAGAGAAAACTGTACTTCACACATAGCCATGTTCTTATTTTTCTCTGTTCATATCAGAATTATCTAGAATAAGAAGATTAAGCTGTAAATCATCAGAAAGTTCTTAAAATTAATGTTATAAAACACCTCCAGCCCATAAACACATGTTGACAAAATAATTGAAACTTAATAAACTGTAAATTAAACTACTGCAATTAATTGTAACAAAAGTGACAAATAACATATAGATGATAATCTGTGGATGTATGTCCTTTTATAAATCTAAAGTCCAATATCAAATAACAGTATACTTCATGAAAATACGAACACATTTACAGATTAAAGCACTCTTTGTAAACCATATCTTCTTAAAAAATCAACCATATTTTCACTCCAGCTAGCAGTCTATTTTTAAACAATAATCTTACCAAGAACAGAAAATTCATATTAATACTCGTTGATTCAAATAAAGGTTTCCTTTTTAAATCTGGAAGAGCAGTATTTCTAAACTCCATTTCTTTCTGTGCCACTGCTTACTGCCAGCCCTCCACCTTTTTTTTAAAGTCACAATTTGCTCAGGAAACGCCACTCTTCACATTGGTTCCTCTGTAGTCAGTGTACAAAATAGAGGTTGCCATAGAAACAGGAAACTGAGAGACAGGAAGTAATTTTATCTGTGTTTCAAAAGCACTGTTGAAAGGAAATCTCAAGAACTTGTTTTTCAGAATGCATTCAGTTTCCCTAACACATATACTTAAATACCTCCCACAATTTAAAAATAAGAAAAAAGGTTTCAACTGTATTTGAAAACTTAAACATCAAGGCCCTAACTATCAATAACATATGATTACTGAGTGGAAAAAAGCAAGCTGAAATTAGAAACAAGGTAATATGAATTAAAAATTATTTTCAATATATAAAATTTGGGGCACTTTATTCCTTTTTAAACAGGTAAAAATCAACAATATAGAATAATGAATACAAAAATTGTTACATTGTATTCTTTTAAATTTTCAAATATTTTTGAAAAAGAGAAGGTATATGCTTTGAGTTGCCCACTAAATTACTGACAAAGGCTAAAGGTTTAGGAGAGTAAAAAAAGCACTTCATTTACTTTACTCTGTGTGTGTATGTATTTGTGTGTGTGCATACGTGTTTGCTTACTATTCTTTTCTAACTAAGAAAATGAGGCAGAGGATATTTCAACTCAAGATGACTAGGACCTAGATCTGTAAAGGTAGCTTTGTGTACTACTGTAGAATGAATGTCTTCTGACTTTTCCTAAAACTAGTATCTAGCACTGCTTATAAATATGACTTTTATATAACATTCTTTACAAACAATGACCTTTATGTGAAAATTAAAACGATCACAGAAGGGAAATAACTAACTTGTGTCTATGTACAAGCTGCCATAACTGACTAATTTAGTAGCATAGTAAAACTAGTAACATACTAGAAATTCAGCTCCCACCAAACAAAACAATACTTACTAACTTCATAACTTCTAAATTCCAAGAAACTGATTCTATTTGTTACTATGTGTACAGAGTATTCAAATGCCCCAACAAAAATGACATTGCTATGCAGCAGAACAAGTCTAATACTACTACTACTAATAATAATAATAAACCCAGTGTACTAACTGAAGAACAAGCTTCTTTTGGTAGAACGCATTAATTTTTTTCAAAAACTCTTTTCCACAATTTTCCTTCCTATAGTAGAGAATAAAGTAAATATCAATGCTAGTAGTAGCCTACACCATTAATAAAAGCAATAAACATTTACTGAAGTTTTAACATGAAGTATAAAAAGCAATCTAACATCCACTGATTTCTTAGAATGAATTATATCTCAATATTAACAACAATCCTATAAAAAATATGTTCCTATTAACCTCACTTTGTCAAAGTAGCAAGATATAAAATTAACCCACAAAAGTCAATAGCTTTTCTGTATGCCAACAATGAGAAGAGCGAAGCTAAAATCAGGAAAGCAACTCCTTTTGTAATAGTCTCAAACAAAAAAACAAAAAAACTCTACAAATTAACCAAAGATGTGGAGGACCTCTATAATGAAAACTTTAAAAAGCTGAAAAAGGAAAGTAAAGCAGATTTAAGGAGTGAAAAAAACCTCCCATGCTCCTGGGTAGGGAGGATTAACATCATGAAAATCGCAACATTGCCAAAAGTTATCTGCAAATTCATTGTAATACCCATCAATATCCCAACAACATTCTTCAATGAAACAGAAAAAGCAATACAAAAATTCATATTGAATAGAAGACCCCCAAATAGCAAAAATAATTCTTAGCAGGAAGAACAGTGCTGGAGGAATAACAATACCAAACTTCAAACTCTATTCTTTAACAAATGGAGCTGGCAGAATTGGTAGCAAACTGAAGTTAGATCTTTTTATAACTCACCCTGTAACAGAATCAATTCCAAATGGATTAAAAAACTCAATTTGAGATCAGATACCCTGAAAGTATTACAGGAATGGGGGAAACACTAGGTCTCCTTGGCACAGGTTGAAACTTTCTCAATAAAGATCCAGAAACACAACAAATCAAAGAAAGGTTGGACAAATGGGATTGCATGAAACTGCTGAGCTTCTGCAGGGCAAAGGACCTAGCTAGTAAGATAAATAGAAAGCCCACAGATTGGGAGAAGATCTTCACTAGCCATATAACAGACAAAGGTCTTATATCTACAATATACTTAGAGCTCAAAAAATTAACCCCCCCCCAAAAAAACAAATCCTCAAAGAAACAACCACTCCTTCTCTGAAGAGGAAATAAGAATGGTCAATAGACACATGAAAAAATGCTGTACTTCTCAAGCCATAAAAGAAATGTAAATCAAAACGACATTGAGATTCTACTTCCCCCATTTAGAATGGCCATTAACAAGAAAAATAATAATAACAGATGCTGGCCGGATGTGGCAAAAGGGAATGCTAATGCACTCTTGGTGGGAATGTGACTGAATTCTTTATCTTAGCATATAGTTTTTTTTTGGGGGGGTGTCAGTCTTACTAGACACTATGTTGAAAATGAACCTTACAACTTGTGGGTGGGGACAGGAAAATATAATTTCTAAATAAAACTGGACATATACCACTAATATATCACTAATAAAATGTATGTTCTAAAGTTTTCCTAAGATTTAAAGATCTGATGTACTATATTTTCACACAATATCAGTCTCGGGGTGCTTTTGGGTCAAGTAAAAAAACAAAAAATAGAGGTCTGGAAGAATGGCTCCTTCAAATAAGGACATCAAAGAAAAAAAGTCATGTCATCAATTGAATACACTATTAATATTCATAAATGCAAACATAGAATAGGCTTCAAGAAGCATGCTCGTTGGTTACTCAAAGAAATCTGGATAATTACTTTAAAGTGAAATAAGCCAGGCACATTAAGACATGATCTCACTCACAGGTGAAGTACATTAAAAAAAAAAAAAAGCTGATCTCACAAATATTCAAAGCAGAATGACAGTTACCAGAGGGCTAAGACTGTAGGAAAGAAACAGGATGAAAATGTTGACCAATAGGTACTAAGTTACGGCTAGATAACAGTAAGAAACTCTGGGGTAGTAATACACAGTAGCATGATCACAATAGACTATAGCAGACTGTATGTACTGAAACATTACATGGAACACCATTAATTTGTATATTTTTGTTTGTATTACCAAAAAGTATTTAAAAAAAAAGAGCCAGTGGCTCACACCTGTAATCCAAGCTAATTAGGAGGCTGAGATCTGAAGACCGAGGTTTGAAGCTAGCCTGGGCAGAAAAAGTCTGTGAAACTTATCTCCAAGTAACAATCAAAAAGCAGGAAGTGGAGCTTTGGTTCAAGTGGTAGAACACTAGCCTTGAACACAAAAACTAAGAGATAGCATCAGGACCTGGAGTTCAAGACTTAGAACTGCATTAAATAAATAAACAAATAAATATATAAATATTTTTAAAATAAATCGGGAAATCTACAATGAATAGGACAGGGAAATCCAGATGTGTACATTGATAAAATGAAGCACACTGAGCCAAAAAAGGAGAACATGTTTTTAAAAAGAAATGTTTCATACAAGATCCCAAGATGACTTATTCAAAAAATGTAAAGAGGTGAAAATTCACTAAACAACCTTCAAATAATTATCATCCATCACAATTTTCAAAAATCTACACAAAGTAGATGAAAACTCCTATTAAGTCAAACTGCTGAAAGTACAAAAAAATTAAATACATAATGTAAAAACGTATTAAAAATGAAAAGAAATAGTCATTCTTTAAATGAAATACAAAACATTTTGTATTTCTAACAGAAATGAACATTTTAATCAAGTCTGTATAGCACAATGACTTCATCTATATAGAAAAAGAAATTCAAGCCGTTTGATTGGCAAATTAAAAGGTAAAATAATTATTTAACCAATGTTTGGATCATCATATTTTATATATTTAGGAAGTGTTACTGAATATAAAGTATTGTATGTAAAAAAGATCCTAAAATGATTAAACCTGGTCAGTATAAAATATGGGAATTCAGATAAAAATAAGCTGAAAATATAAACAAGTTAAACTACAGCCTATATCACTAAAGAGTAAGTATGCCATTAACTTTATAAGTTATATCATATTATTATCTACCAACAAAATTAGCATTCACATATACAAAAGCGACACAGTCCATAACCACACACAGCATTACTGATAGCTAAAAGTTGTACTGACATTTTTATGCTTTATAGAAACTAATTGTAAGGAAGCATTTCTTCACCTATTATCAGATGGCAGAAGGGAAAGCAAAGCCAAAGCTGAAAGTTTTCTTCTTTCAGGCTGGGTAATGTTATCCATTCGATCAACCCACATTTCAATCATGTTTCCTAGAAGCTGATCCATCTGAAAAAAGGGAAGAAGGCATCTCAAAACACTTGAAATTTGATTTACTCATGTCAAAGGTTAAAACCTCCTAAGTTAAAGTTAAATACAACAAACCATAGAAATGAATAACTGAATTTGGGACAGGTCTTGAGC